TTGAGCTACGGAGCGGTCGCCGACGGAAAATCCGACGCGAACAAGGCGTTTCAGGCGGCGTGGAACGCCGCCTGTGCTTCCGCCGTGCCGTCGGTCGTCGTCGTCCCCAACGGGAGGTTTTTGGTTAGTAGTGTGACGTTTGAAGGGTCAAGTTGCAAGTCCAAGTCCATAACATTCCAAATGAGTGGCACACTTGTGGCCCCACAAAACTACAAACTTGACAAGTGGATCTCATTCCATATGGCCAATGGGTTGTCCATAATTGGTGGAACCCTAGACGCCCAAGGAGCCCCTCTTTGGGCATGCAAAAAGTCCGGCAAGGGTTGCGGTGACGGCGCCACGGCGTTGTCGATTTACCACTCGAACAACATCGTCGTGAGCGGGGTGAGCTTCGTAAACAGCCAGAAGTTCAACTTCCTCGTCTACCAATGCGACAATGCCAAGATACAAGGAGTGAAAATCACGGCGCCGGGAGATAGCCCCAACACCGACGGAATCCACGTGGAGATGTCGTCGCGAGTGACGATCACGAACTCGGTTATCGGCACGGGGGACGACTGCATCTCCATCGGGCACGGGAACTCGGACTTGACGATCGAGGGAACCAAGTGCGGGCCCGGGCACGGGATCAGCATCGGGAGTCTGGGATGGACGGCCCAGGAAGCGGGAGTCCAGAACGTGGTCGTGAAGAGCTCGACTTTCGTGAAAACGCAGAACGGATTCAGGATCAAGACATGGGCGAGGCCGAGCAGCGCCTTCGTGAGCAATGTGGTGTTCAGCGGAGCGGTGATGGATGGGGTTCAAAACCCCATCCTCATCGACCAGGATTACTGCCCTCATGGCACAAACTGTCCCAACCAGGTACATACGTAACCGATTATTATTATTATTATTATTATTATTATTATTATTATTAACTCAAACCTCAAACTTGTGATTGGCCCACCGGGCTTTGATCTAACGCTTAAAACGACGAATCATGTTTGGAACGATCGATCAGAGCTCGGGGGTGAAGATCAGCAACGTGAAGTTCCAAGGGATACGGGGGACGTCGTCGGCGGCGGTGGCGGTGAAACTGGACTGCAGCAGGACCAAGCCATGTACGGGGATAAATTTGGACAATGTGAACCTAATGTACAACGGGCGTGAGGCTCAGTCTTCGTGCGTTAACGCCAAGGGTTTGGAGTCTGGTTTGGTTAAGCCTGCTGGCTGCGCTCTTGCCTAATTTATACGAGTATTTTATTTTAGAAATATTTGCATGCATGCATATATCCATGCACAACTACGCAAATCTATATTTATTACTGTATTATGAACTTATTTACTTCACCGGCGCCCTTTAATCACCTAGAAAATAAAATAAGAAGTCATATATGTATGTAATAATAATGTGTGTAATATAATAATATGTATGGCAAGTTAAAATAATATAATTATAAATTCATCTTGGTTTAAATTTGTGGTCAGAATGCATGTGGTGCTTTAGAATAGAAGATCTAAGGGCCATACAAATTTGAAAAATAAGAAAAAATGAAAAAATGCGGCAACAGTCTCGTAATTTAATTGAACAATGTACCATGGGCGAACACAAATGTATCATTCTCATTTCTCTCCACAAGATTTATTCTCACAGAAATCGGCACATCAACTGAGCAATAAAAAGACCCATCAATTTTGGGTAAAATTAATAAGTTAATAAGGTACAATCCTAAAAGTATCTCCTAATGTGATAAATGTTAGTTAAAACCCCTCAAACACTAAAGTTTGGACAATAAACTTGCCGGGGGGGAGGATGTGGGGTGGGCTTAGTTATTTGGTGTTTTAGTTTTAATTAAATTGCTTGAAAGAAAATAATGAATGAAATTGCAGTGAATTTCTTTCCAATAATAAAAACTGGTAGTGAATAATTGATGAAAACATTCTTAGTTCCCGTTTGGTACATGGAATTCAAACTATGGAATTGGAATTAGAGACTTCAATTCCAATTATGGTGTTTGGTAGCACATAAATTATGTGAATTTGGAATTAATAGTGCAAAAAATGAATTGAAAATTGACAGAATTCAATTCTATGGAATTGAATTCCATGAAATTTCAATTCCAATTCAATTCCAATTCCACCAATTCCTTATACCAAACGGACCCTTAGTATATATTGGATTTAATTATGCTATTAAATTGTCATTTACACCGATTACACGCTTATGTAGTATTTCAATGTTTAGTTTTATTTTCATTTTACTTCATTACGACTTTAAGTCTTTTTAAATGTGTCAAATTCTAACATTTTTTAGATCTGCCACTGCAATACGGAACATAACATTGTACGTTGACAAATCATATGGGTTTTCTTGTCATTTCACTTTAATTTGTTTTTCTGAGATTATAAATGTGAAATACTTCTTCCCTCACATAAGATCTTTCTCTTTTTTTATCAGTCTCAAGAATCTTTTCTCATTTCTATTAAAAGTCTTTTTTACTCCTATTAATTTTTAACATAACCTTTCACATCACACTTTTTTACTACTCCCTCCGTTTGGAAAAACCCTTTCCATTTTGATTTGGGGTAAAAATAAGGAAGTGTTAAATTATACTCCCTCCGTCCCATAAAGTGTTATCCATTTTGACTAAAGTGGAAATTAAGGGAGGGATAATTTTGTGTTGACTTTCCTAAAATAACCTTGATTTGATGTGTAAAAGTAGGATGTGATGTGTAGATTATAAGGAAAAAGGTATGATGTGATAGGTAGGGTTTGAAAAAGTAAGGGTAAAAGTGGTTTTTTAATAGAAATGGGTAGGAGATTGTAGGACGCAATTTTTTTGAAAGGTGTAAATCTTTTTGGGACGGAGGAAGTAATTGATTTCCAATTTTTCCCCTGATGTGATGGGTAAAAATAAGATGTGATGGATAGATTATTAGAGAAAAAGTATGATGTGATAGGTAGGGTATGAAAAAGTAAGGGTAAAATTGGTTTTTTAATAGAAAAGGGAAGTGTTTTGTTGGAAGTAGAAAAAATGAAAGAGGAAGTGTTTTTGAGAACGGAGGGAGTATTAATTACCCATCATATCTACTTTTATCCATCATATTCGATCAAAGACATTTTTGAAAAACTAACACCAAAATATACTCTCTTTAAATTTTTTATAAATCAGAACGAGAAAGATTTTGTGAGAGAGAATGAGTAGTATTTGTAAATTTTGTTGATCTCAACCAACCTTTTTGTAATGAGTGCATATAAAAATGAATTCGGTTAACTTTTTTCTGGACTTGACGGTTGTTAGGAAGATTTTTGTTGATAAAACTAGAATGTGATGTGTAGATTATTACTCGGGTAGTAAAAAAGTATGATGTGGTCGGCAGGTTAAAATTAGTATGGTAAAAGCAGTTTTTTAATACAAATGTGAAGGATTTTTTGGGACAAGCACATAAAAAAAGAAGAAAGAGTTTTTGAGACGGAAGAAGTATTTTACACAGACCATACTTCTTTCGTTCTGATCTTTCAAAAACCATTTACAGAATCAAACTTAACTAACTGACTTTACTTATTTTACTAATTTATAAAATAATATCCGGGTATATTCTTTCACATGATGTTTTATATAATACGGAGTAGAACTTTTTATTTAATTTTTTACTATATAAATTTTATTTTTAAATTTTATACTTATAATCAAATAAATTAAATTGAAAATAAAGTCGATCAAATCTCGTAACAAAAAATTTTTAAATTTTTATCCTTATAAATTATCTTAAAAAAATTTGTGACCCTTGAACCCTATGTTTAGGCTCTAGTTGATATACATAATTCAAATTTCAAACCATTAAATTGAAATTGAGAATTTTAATTTTAATTCAGTTTTTTAGTTGGACATAAATATGTAGATTTGGAATTGGTAATGCAAAAAATGAATTGGAGTTGAAAAATTGAATTTCATCCAATTCGATTTCATGGACTTTCAATTAAAATTTAATTTCAATCCTATCAATTTCGTTTATCTAACGGACTCACATGAAGTTTATGTCTAACACAGTCTACGTCAAGGAGGATGATACACTGCTATCAATGTTCTCATCTCTATTCACTTTGATTTTCCAACTTCTAAATTCTAATACCATTACATGCTTATCTAGCTACTCCTACCAACTACAACAAAAACCATTAAAAGAAAATTTAAAACTTCACAATCTATTTGTCTCAAAATAAATTTCATTTTAATTTCACTGAATAAAAATTTAAAATAATTATTCCCTCCGTCCCTGAGTTATTATCTACTTTTGACTTTTTTCAATCAAAATTGGTAAACTTTCACCTCAAATTAAATCAAAATGATATTAGATATTGATACCAAAATAGTTTTATTAGATTTATTACATTAAACACTTTCAAAATAATATTCTATCTAATTAATATACAATATATATTTTATTTAACTAAAGGTCAAATGTGGAAAACGATTGACCGAAAATAGTCAAAACTAGATCGACAAACACTCATGGACGGAGGTAGTATATGGTTAAAAATTATTTTGATGAGAGAGGAGTGATGTGAGCTTCGCATCCGCTTCCTTAAAAGGGAAATATGAAAATTTGTTTTAGAACATACCAAATATCGAAGAAGAAAATGTAACTTTATTTTGGTACCTACCGGAGGAGAACATATAGAGTAATGCGTAGTACTACTCCCCTCCTAAGTATTTGTCTACTTTTTAATTTTTTCGAACAAAATTGATAAACTTTGACGTCAAAATAAATTAAAATGATATTAGATATTGATACAAAAATAATTTTATTCGATTTATTACTTCAAATGTTTTCAAAATATTATTTTATCTAATTAATATACAATATATATTTTATTTAATTATAAGTCAAATGTTAAAAATGGTTGATCGAAAAAAGTCAAAAGTAAATAAATGTTCAAGGACGAAGGTGGTATAAAACTTTGCATTGAGAGAAATTTTAAAGCTTTTTATGTATAGCCACTTATAATATAATAACTAATAACACTCCAAATTAAACAAAGATGAGAGAAGAAAGTGGTTCAAATGAGAAAGAGAGAATGAAAGGGAAAATTGTAGCCTTTGCTCCAAGCAGCTCACATGATTATGATGATGATGATGATGATGATGATACACATAATAAAGTGTCTTCTTTTCTTCAATTCTCTACTACTTCTCCCCCAAGTATATACACAAATATATAACTGTATACTATAGCTAGCTCTCCCTCATCCTTTTATTTTTCTTTTTTTTTGTCTACTTTTAAAATAAATGAAGAGAAAAAAATGCCCTAGAATTTCTGCTTCTTGGTGCATTAACAATTTTTTTTAACTTACAGAGATTGCTGATGATGGGATGTTGAGAGGCACAGAAAACCCATGGGCCAGAGGTGATTTACATTCTCATACTTTAATTTTTTTTTGGAATTTTTAAAATGCTCTCTCTCTCTCTCTCTATATATATATATATACATGCATACATACATACATACATACATATGTATATATATATATGTATGTATGTATATATATATATGTGTGTATATATATACATACATACATACATATATATATATATATATATATATATATATTCAATGAATATTATGTTGCTTTATCAAATTCACATTTTGTCTATTCAGATGATGAGTATGATTCATATTATGTTTTTCTTTTTTGTTTTGTGTTGTTTAATATATGTTGGGAATTAAATTAGATGGTGATTGGACAAGAATTGAGTTGGAGAAGAGATGGGCTTTGATCAAAGCTTGGGAAGAGAATGAGAAAGCCAAAGCTGATAATAAGTATATATGGCTGAATCCCATTCTTTTATTTATCTAATAATAATCCTATATGTAATTTTAACTTGGGAAATTTACCTAAATAGTACTAAAACATTGGATTATTCAGGTACTATTTAGAAAATTAAAAAATTTAACTATTACATTGAGAAATGACATGTGTTTTAGTACTATATAGTGCAAATTTCACTTTCAACTTTTTTAGTACTCTCTATCTCAATATGATGATGAAACAGAGCGCATAAAGAGTTATGTGCAGTTGCAGCATGGGAGAGCTCTAAGAAGGCCTCTCTGGAGGTTAAGCTTAAGAAAATCGAGGTTTAAACTCACACTCCATCAAAATTTTATGTATTTCACTTTCACATACCTTTTAAAAAAGTTGAGAAAATGCGACTAGAATTTGTTACGAAGAGAGAAAATTTCGAAACACGTAGCCTTTTTCTTAATAAAAGACGCCTCGATAATTTTGAGACCAAGAGATGACATCATATTATGAAATTGCCTCAATTTGGGCCCCCTTAACACTCACTTTCACCGTCTAACACTCATCTTGTTTGTTAATTGGCAACAACAGTTTAGTATTACCATTCAACGAACAAGAGGGGAGCCACTCTCGGGTCAAACGAAGCCTCGTAAGGACCCTAAATTGGAGAAGTGCCATAACATGAAACCACACTCCGGTGTCAAAAATTACTCAGCTGAAGAAAAGAAAGAATAAAACTTTTTTTGCGGGACGGAGAAAGCATAGTATAAGTAAGACCTTATTTTTTCCTCAAAAAAAAAAGAGTTAACTGATGCAGTGTATATATGATGATGATGCATGAATGCAGGAAGAATACGAGAAGAGGAAGGGGGAATATGAGGAGAAAATGAAGAACAAAGCAGCAGAGATTCACATGGAAGCAGAAGAGAGAAGGGCACAGGTTGAGGCCGAGAAAGGGGAAGGAATGCTCAAGTTAGAAGAGGTTGCTGCCAATTTCTGCTCCAACGGATACGTCCCCCATAGCCTCCGTTGTCGCCTTTGTTGTTGTTGTTGTTGTCGTCGTCCCTGCTAGCTTGCTGCTGTCAAAGATGCTTGACAAATGCTTACACAAACTCGTGTTTGCACCATACTTATGTTTTGTACATTTGTGCATCGAATCATGAAATTGACTTTGGCCTTTTGTTTTTTATATTTTTGAAGTCTTTGTTTGTGACTCGACATTTCTCTTTTGGGATGTGGACGTGACACTTCCGACATACCAATACAATATTAGAGAATGGTAAAACCCCACCACCCTGCACAGACGATAATTGTCTATGTTGTTCACATATGATTATCATCTGTGTGGGTATAAAATCGTCTGCATTCTCATGTGTAGGAGCGGGGGCAGTGTAGCACGGTCCTAAAGTATCACTTTCGTACAATAATGTGTTAATCATGGGTTTTGTAGAATATACGAGTAATAGAAAGAGCAGTTTTTTTTTTAAATCTCACTCTGGTCAAAATAAAAATCAAATACAAGGTACAAATTCACCCAACAAATGGCAACCAAATCTTCTAATCATTTGCCTGGTTAGGGCTCTACAAAGTTCAAAATTGACTTTGGCCGAATATGGAGTTCATTAAAATATTGTAAATATTTATAACAAAAATGCTTAATAAAATTTTGTTCTAAGGGACTTGGACTAACAAGCAACACTTCATTCCAAGTAATATTGGAAATAGCAATCATAATAACCTGAAAAAACACAACTAGACCAACAATAGACAGAGTCATCCATAAAAACTTACCATATTCGATCGGACCCATGCTTAGGATTCCTCCTGGTAGTCACCTTCTTCCTCATATTCTTCATCAGCAGTGGCGTCCTGATACTGCTGGTACTCCGCCACCAGGTCGTTCATGTTGCTCTCGGCTTCGGTGAACTCCATCTCATCCATACCCTCGCCGGTGTACCAATGCAAGAAGGCCTTCCTGCGGAACATGGCGGTGAACTGCTCGCTCACCCTCCTGAACATCTCCTGTATGGAAGTGGAGTTTCCTATGAAAGTTGCGGCCATCTTGAGACCAGTCGGTGGAATGTCACAGACACTGGACTTGACGTTGTTTGGGATCCACTCCACGAAGTAGGACGAGTTCTTGTTCTGGACGTTCATCATCTGCTCGTCCACCTCTTTTGTGCTCACCTTGCCACGGAACACTGCTGATGCAGTCAGATACCTGTCATGCCATTTGAGGTTGTAAACCAATCAAGTTTTGAATTCCAGTCTCAATTGGTTCAATTTCTAATGAGATTCTTATCTTGTTATTTGATTAATCACAAATTGATTTTAAAACCACCTTCGAAAAATAATGCAAGTGAAGTATCAAGTGTTGATATACCCATTCAAATCACGGATACAAGTCATGTAAACAATATTTGATTCTTTTACATCATTACCTGCCATGACGGGGATCAGCAGCACACATCATGTTTTTAGAATCCCACATCTGTTGGGAGAGTTCTGGGACCGTGAGGGAACGATACTGCTGTGAACCACGCGAAGTAAGTGGAGCAAAGCCAACCATAAAGAAGTGGAGACGAGGGAAAGGTATAAGATTCACTGCTAGCTTCCGCAGATCTGAGTTTAGCTGACCAGGGAAGCGAAGGCAGCAAGTCACACCGCTCATGGTGGCTGATATCAAGTGGTTCAGATCTCCAACTGAAAAAATGAAATTGCATATGGTTATATGTAATCAGATTCCATGCACTATTGAGCTTTAAACATCATAAACACATACTCAGTAAGGATTCATCCAACAAACTCACTTTCCTAACACATAGCACACATAAGATCAATGCAAAACACTATCAACCAAATGAATTTCAAAAAATAATCTAAAGATAATTAGATTAGATCTGTTTGGGCGCAAAGAATATGAAGAGAGTCTCATGTTCAATCATCAAGCTGGTAGGTAGTGTTCATAGAACTCTAGAAACAGTTCAGCTTACATATTGTTAACCAAAAAGATTATAACATGTCATCATGTTCATTCACATACAAGTTGAAAAGCTCAAAATCCCAACAAGACTCTTTGATAGCCGCCAAAAGTTAGAACTTACCTGAGACTTTAACCAAAGAAGTAAATCCAGCAAAAATTAGTATTACTTTTAGATTTTAAAAGGTTGAAAGTATTATAAAGGTTAATAATGCATCTGTACTACGGAGTATGAATTTTGATCAAAGTATTCAGAGAAATGGAAAATCTTACTAGGATATTACCCTTTGCTGGAAGGAGAAGCACATAAATACCTTCTGGTTCTCATATTTTACATGCTATTTCAACTAAACTAAAATCATCAAAAACAAAAGCTAATGACTTACAACTTGGAGTGGTGAGCTTTAGAGTGCGAAAACAGATGTCATAGAGAGCCTCATTATCCAACACCATACACTCATCAGCGTTCTCAACCAACTGATGCACAGAGAGCGTCGCATTGTAGGGCTCCACCACTGTGTCGGACACCTTTGGCGACGGAAAAACAGAGAAAGTTAACATCATCCGGTCAGGGTACTCCTCCCTTATCTTGGATATCAACAGCGTCCCCATGCCCGACCCGGTTCCTCCACCCAGCGAATGACACACTTGAAACCCTAGAAACATAAACCAAAAAATTAAACCATCAATTCCGCTGCAATCGCTTCCAGGCGCATCAGATCCAGGAACTCTTAAGCAAAAACACTCCATCAGACACATGTATTGTTAACGAACGCTTAAAAACATAAACAAAAACACGAGTTCATGTATATTCGCGTGCCTTGGAGGCAATCGGAGTTCTCGGCCTCCTTGCGGACGACGTCCAGGACGGAGTCGATGAGTTCAGCGCCCTCGGTGTAGTGTCCCTTGGCCCAATTGTTTCCGGCGCCGGACTGGCCGAACACGAAGTTGTCGGGGCGGAAGATCTGGCCGTAGGGGCCGGATCTGACGGAATCCATGGTTCCAGGCTCCAGATCCATGAGGACGGCGCGGGGGACGAACCGCCCGCAGCTAGCCTCGTTGTAGTAGACATTGACGCGCTCGAGCTGCAGATCGGAATCGCCCTGGTAGCGGCCGGTGGAGTCGATCCCGTGCTCGGCGCACACGACCTCCCAGAACTTGGATCCGATCTGATTGCCGCATTGGCCGCCTTGGATGTGCAGAATCTCACGCATCTCTCGGTCGATTTGGCTGCGCTCGTAGAGATGGAAAGGTGTGTGGGTGGAAATGAAGGAGAAAGAAAATATGGTGTGGCCGTTTTAGGGGCTTTGGGAAGAAGGCACAATATAAGTAGGCGAGAAGAGGAGGGAAGTTAGAATTTTGAAATGGGGCATCGAGACATGTGAGGGCACAAGTAGCCAAAAATAATGCAACATTTACATTTCAAATTTTTTACACTTTCCTTCACATATGCTAGACTACTTTTTTTTTAGTTTGACTTTTCACAATCTCTATACAACACATTGACAAATAATATTGATATTTACATATAGATAAATTTTGTTAAAAAAATTCAATTTCAAAACTATGTTTCAAAAGAAAATAATTGATATTATATTTATATCGAAACACATTTTATCTCTTTTGCATATCAAAATCAAAGTTTACAAATTTAAAAAAATCAAATCAGAAGATTAAATTCGAACGGAGAAAAATGGTGTGTGTATATTATGCATAAAGTTTTATAAAATAAAAGTTGATTAACTATAATATTTTATTTTATTAAATAAAATACTCATTCAAATAAATTAGAGTTTCTATGATTTTGGTATATTACTGATTTACAATGTATAATCTATTTAAAGGCATATAAATAAGGTGTTTGTGAGTGCGGTGAGTATTGAAAAAGCACATGTGCTAAAATCAGAAATAGAAAGCAGTTACTCCGAGTTTAGGTGAAAATCACTTCTGAAATATAATTTATACTCCGTACTTCTGAAGTCACAATCCATAATCTAAAGCTAATTGGAAAACACTTTAAATTGTGTTTCAATGAAGTAGAAGCTCAAAAGCTATTTTCAAACATACTCCCAAACACTCTCAAAGTATATTTTATATAAAAACTACTCCCTCCGTCCTAAAGGTCTTGTTTGGGAACAGCGTTTTTGATTAGCGTTAGCGTTTTGGATATAATTTTAATGGTGTAGATTAATTCTGAAAACGCTAACGCTAAAAGCTACCGTTGGATAGCCTTTTCAAAACGCTAACGCTAATCTCTAACGCTGATGCCAAACGGGCCCAAAATTAACTTCTCATTTTGATTTTTACAGTCAAACTTTTTAAACTTTGATTCTGTATTACGAAAAATATATATTGAATTTTCATATAAATTTATTATCAATCGATTCATTTTGAAACATAGTTTTGAAATATATTATTTTTATAATATATATTCATATAAAAATGGAGATATTAATGGCCAAAATATCACATTGGAGACCGTGAAAAATTAAATGAGAAGTTAATTTTAGGACGGAGGGAATATAACGCAGCATACAAATTTCATAATTCGTGCCACAGATTAATCGTCTGCGTTTTCTTTTTAGAAATAAAAAAGAGGGAATTGATATTGGCACTCCACTCTTTACTATTTGCATTCCACATCTCTCTTTTTCTTTTTTTTAAATGGCATAAATGTCCTCTAGTTTAACAATGGTGACCAATCGTGACAAAAAAATACAATAACCATAAAAGCATCATAACTGCTCGAGATGGCCACCGGAGTATATTAGAATTAATTAATTGATAATTAATTAATTACTGAGATAAACTTAAAAATAAGTGATTTTGTAAAGTCTGTGAATTAATTTTGAAAATTATATCGATGTGTAAAGTTTGACTATTTGATCGCGACGGTGTAATCAGATTTTAATTTGGAGAAAGTTGGACAAAAAAATGTATTCCGATTAAGACCATTTAAGTCTCAATGAGGGAGTAGCGTGTAAATCTTCAAAGTATCGCCACTTCCACCGATGATTCGCGGATCTCCAATGACGCAGCAAAACGGGGAATGGTCTGGCTTCTTCCTCATTCACTCTCCTATATAAGGAATGTCAAATTCATTCATTTCTTCACCATTCTATCATTTTTCTTCCATTTTGTTTATGTGAGTGTGGAGAGTGCCGTAGTGTTGTCTGGAGAACTAGAGGTTGCCGGAGATAGCCACAATAGTCGTCTGAAGTTTCACTAGAAAATTTTCAAAACTTTCATTTGAGCCACGGGTGAGTCTTTAGATATATCTAGTTATTAGAACGTTTATATAGAATTTAAAATGTTTTTCTATAATTAATGCATTGTTATTTCGAAAATGAACCAATTTGAGAAAACATCGAGCTAGAAAGTACTATTTTGGAAAAGAAGTACTCCGTAGAAAGTTTAACGTCGTTTTAACAGCTATTAGTCGGAGGACTAAACTAAACATTT